GCCAATAATCTATATGGTTGGGCAATGTCCCAATATTTACCAACCGGAGGATTTAAATGGCTATCAACAAAACCCCTAGAAGCTACTTCCCCATTAGTGCAGAAAAATTTTATCATTAAAAGAAAAATCAAATAGAGGATGCTGTTTGGAGGTTAAGTTATTGATTCCAAAAGAATTGCGTTCCAAATTTTGAGATTATTCTATGTGTCCAGAACGAATGAAAGTACCATATGATTGGTATTATAGTTCAAAACAGAAAGAATGGTTAGAAAAGCAATGTTTCAATGCAGAAAAACTTATACTAACTCTACATGATAAAGACCACTATGTTATTCATTATAGAAATTTACAGCAGTGTATAAGAGAGGGATGTTCTCGAAAAAGTATATCGAATTCTTGGATTTGATCAATCTCCGTGGATGGACCCATATATTGCAATGAATACCCAGCGACAAGCAAAAGCAAAGAATGCCTTTGAAAAAGATTTCTGAAGTTGATGAATAATTCAGTATTTGGAAAAACTATGGAGGATGTGAGAAAACGAGTAAATATTGATTTAGTTAGACAGGTAGGTGAAGAACGACGATTGCGCAGATTAATTTCAGATCCAGCTTTTGTTAGTCGAAAGATTTTCTATGGTTCTAATCTAGTAGCTGTACATCGAAGGCAAACCAATGTAAAACTTAATAAACCAGAATATGTGGGAGCATGTATTCTCGATCTTTCTAAATACTTTATGTATGAAATCTGGTATGGGCATCTCAAAAAAAAATATGGAGATAGAGTAAGACTTTTATATACAGATACAGATTCTTTAATCATAGAAATTGAGACTGAAAATATTTATCAAGATATGATCGATGATTGCGATTTAGTTGATTTTAGTGACTATCCAGAAGATCATTGGCTAGTAAAAAATTTAATGATGAAGGTAAGCGTGTCTTAAAAAATACTAAAGTTGTAGGTAAGTGGAAGGACGAAAATGGAGGAGATCGAGCTATTGGATGTGCAGGAGTTCGCGCAAAATGTTATAGTGTTGTATGTGAAAATTCACGAAAAAAAAATATGATAAAGGCTAAAGGTCTCTTATAAAGAGAGAGCTTACCCATAAAATATTCGAAGACTGTGCTTTAGAAGGAAAAGAGGATCAACCTAGAACAGCACAATTTCTCCGAAGTTATGGTCACCGAATGTATAGGATAACGCAAACAAAGAGAAGTGTTAACCCACTAGATACAAAATTGTGGATAGATCAAGATGGGATTACAACGTACCTATATGGTGATTGTGAAATTTCGGAAGAATAAACATCCCACTAAATCGTTCTACTTATTGTATGTATATATCAATTTTTTATGATCTAAAATATCATGCATCTAGTTATTAATCGATATCAACATCAAATAGGCCATAAGTTTCGAAAATTTTTTTATATTCATCGATTTGTTTTCGAATTTCAGTATTACTAGAAGTTGTCATGTTATATAATAAATGAATACCGCGAATCAGAGATCAGCATAGAAGTATTTCGGAGAAATGACGTAGTCTCGTGGAACATGCATATCCGGCGATAGAAAAATAGTTAGTTTATTGATCAAGATTAATAATGCGTCGTTTATATCGTTACATAATTTATTTCGGGTGTTAAACCTATTTCGGAATGTGCTACAAGCATATAATATCAACGGGACGAGTCGACTATGCGATAAAGGGGTTGGAGGACCTACTTTGTATCACGGAAGGAAAACCACGTAACATCAAGATTGGGTATGCTCAAATCTAGCACAACTCGAAAGTGCATACCAGACTAATAAGAAGAAACGGACAGCGGATGAGGCATTTGGTAACGAGTATTTCGACTACCTCTATGGGATCGTATCTACGGGTACGCGGAAAATTTTATTAGATTGCTACTCAGGTGGGACTTTAGGTCTCACTTTTTATCATGCGTTTTTTTGCTAATAATCGCGTTTATTTTTAGCCATGGAGTGGCACTTCATTATACGCTAACCTACCGAAAGTATACAACAATCGGTAAAAGTAAGATTAAATTTAAATTATCCAACAAGTAATGGTGTAAAGATTCTGAAATTTAGACCAAATAAACTAATATCAATTGTAATTAAACCATTGAGTTTTTGTCTTACATTTATATGAAGATAAATTTTTACTAAGGCACATATTTTGGGTAATAAATCGACAAATTTATGCTCTACGGAAACTTTTTTGTTAAATTATTGGACATAATAAATAACGTTTTCTTTTATTTACTTTAAAGCACTACCATTGATACGTTTTTTTTAAAAAAAGTTTGCTAGAATATCTTGAATATATGTAGAGATATAAAAATTTTTAAATATATTGCTTAAAAAAGTTAAATAATAGCTAGTGATACAACTTTTCTCTAAAAAATTTATAATGTAATGTATTATTAACAAACCTTATTACCATAAATATTTATTTACCGCCACAGAGCTTCCAGACGTAATGGCTATCACCACACAAACGAAGAATTGGAAGAAATTATCGAAATGGAGAATGAGTGGGCAGAAGAAGAATTGATAGAGTTCGAGAAGGTGGGAAAAAAACTTTTCAATGAAGTTCTTAATAGTGTGCCTGTAACCACTGTTCGTAAGTTTTCCCGCAAGTCATGGATGCATATGACAAAGGGTTGGAAGGTAGAGTCGCCGAGTGGGCTGTTAATAAGTACAAGTTTCATCGTCGAATTCCAGTAAATATCGAGCGAACATTAGACGAGTAGTGGGGTTAGGTCGATATAGAAAGATATTGTTAGACAAGGAAGAGCGAACAATAAATATTCGTTGATGATGATGATTATCATGTGCATTATATAATGCGCGTAATGCACGCAATATTATTGGTTACATGCTAAATTACATTGCATCCAGAAAATTGAAACAAATTCACGTGATTGGCGAGTTAAGATTTCCTGCACCATAGATCTCACGTGACCATAATTTTAATCACATGAATTTTTATACCTTTTTCCTATGTATCAGCTGGTTCACTTTTTATTTTTTTTCTTTTTGACGCCCTTCTGCAAATCAAGTGGAGTGTCAAATCTTAAACGAATTGCTAGAGGATCATCTTCCGACCTAGTAAGATCAAATACAATAAATTCACCCTTTCGTAGATAATCGTGGATGCATCTTTTACTCGAGTGACTACTGCGCCTCATTATTGGTATATTTACTATTTTTATTTTGCATTATGTCATTGATTGCGCGTGATTAGCCGCCCCAATCTCTATAAAAAAAAAAGCAAAAAATCTTTTTAAACCGCGCAACATGTCGACTACTTCATCTAATGATGGATGAATCTGATGCATCCAGATATTCGTTATCGTATGTCCCCAAGAAACCAGCCAGCTTAGACTCAGTTACAGTTTAAGCTCTAGTTATGACATAAATAACCAGGCATCTGGGGTAAACACAGATACAAATATGGACACAAATGTGAACACATATACAAATATAAGTAAAGCCGGCGAAAAGAAAAAGAATTGGTGGTTGAGTAGAGATTCTTTAGGTTCTCTGGGTATTGAAGAGGAAAGGTAAAACGTTAGCATCTACTTGTTACACTTTTTTCATGCTAAATTTTGATTTACCTTGTCAGATTACCTCTGGTTTTAGCAAGAGATGTAACATTTAGTCGGTTCGCAAAACGAGTTGAGATTATTAAGGCCAGGAGGTTTTTTGACTATCATAATGGAACTATAACAATTATTGAGT